GGAGCGAGCGAGAGGGTGGGCCTTGCACGTGCGAAATTGCGAGGGGGTACGTGCATGGCACCCTACTAACCGGTCTCTGGCGATGTGCCAAATTTGGGCACAATCGGCCCAGCCGTTCTCGAGATCTGGAAGCGGCACCCTGCACGTGCGCAGGTGCATAATGGGTCCCAACTGACTTGTGCACGGCACCCTACTAACCGGTCCCTAACTGTGTACCAAATTTGAGGGTAATTGGTCGAGCCGTTCTCGAGATCTGGAAACGACCCCTGCACGTGCCCACGTGCAGCAGCGCCCCAACTCTGGCACATGGATATGCAGTGCCTAGTGGGTGCCTACCTACATGCCAACTTTCAGCGCAATCGGCCAAGTAGTTACCGAGATATTGCAACAATTACAAAACGGACACCTCTTCGTTTTGCACGTGGCACGTGCATAAGGGGTTACCCACATGCATCAGGAATAGTCCAATACTTGGTAGAAGGAATGAAGCTACCCTACAAAAATTACCGCGTGTAAATCGGTCAAGTGGTTGCTGAGATATAAGCGTCGCAGAATCGTGACCACGGCCGGCCGCTCATACTCAGAAATTTCCGTTATTCTACGTAAGACTCCGCTCGCTTCGCTCGCTCCGTAATCATGTCATGTGTTTCTTTAAAAAAAGCACAATCAAAAGGGAGAATAACTCGTATTTGGAAGAATTTCGGGTACGCATCTGCATCACAGTGCTCCATTGATGATATACCTACAAAACAAACGTCATTGAGCGATAGATTAATAATTTCATATTTCTGTATATTCGATTTAATGTATAATTCTGCGTACTCTTACCCTCCTGAACAGTGCGTCCTCTTACCGTACATGCAATTCGCGCACAAAACAACCCCGAAACGTTATGCAAAACTTCGCAAACAGAATATTGCACTGCACAGTATTTCCCCAGATAACCTCACAAGTTTCCACAACAATCACGGAAATGTGCCTTATCTTTCTAGTTGAGGTTTATTTGCCATTGGGTCTACAGTGCAGGGATATTTCTATCTCGCACTCCTCTGAGATGCAAAGATAAGAATTTGTTATATCTGCATCCCTCTGAGATGCAAAGATAAGGTCTCGAGGGTTCATAGCGAAAAATCAAGAGATGGGTCAATAACCGAACGACATTTTTAGTTGTTGTTTATGGATGAAACTTATGAAATAAGAACAAACTACTCGTAATCTATTTTTAGATAGATGAATGCATTTAAATATAATATTTTATTAATTGAGAAGAAACCTCAACATAGAAAGATACAGGATTCCTCATGGCTCACTCGTGGAAGATCGGATATCTTTTCCTCGCGTGTTACAGAAAAGATATCCTTATCTTTCTAGTTGAGGTTTATTTGCCATTGGGTCTACAGTGCAGGGATATTTCTATCTCGCACTCCTCTGAGATGCAAAGATAAGAATTTCTTATCTCTGCATCCCTCTGAGATGCGAAGATAAGGTCTCGAGGGTTCATACTCGAGGGCAGCGCTTTTCGAGGAGCGCTGTGGCCCGAAGGTTTGGATTTTGAATTGTGAAAAACGCCCGCCCGACGCAAAACGCAAACACCGCAAAACGCGCAAAACAAACGCCCGAAACGCCAACGCAAAGGTCGCAAAAAATAAACAAACGCCCGCCCGCCGCAAACCGCAAATAAAAAAAAACGCAAAAACGCCGCAAAACAATAAAACCGCCCCCATCGCACGCCCGCTAACCGCCAACCGAAAACGCCTAAAAATCGCCCGCCCGCCGCCAAAAGCAAACACCGCAAAAAAAAAACGAAAAAGCGGCCGCCAACCGCAAACAAATTTAACACCGCAAACGACGCAAAAAAAGAAAACCGCCCGCATCGACCGCCCGCCCGCCCGCCGCCAAAGACAAACACCGCAAAAAAAACATAAAACGCCCGCCCGCCGCAAAACGTAAACACCGCAAAACGTGCAAAACGCACGCCCGAACCGCCAACGCAAACGGCGAAAAAAAATCGCCCAACCGCCGCAAACCACACAAAAAACGCCGAAACGCCGAAAAAAAAAACCGCCCGCACCGCACCGACGCTAACTGCTAAACGAAAACGACTAAAAGTCGCCCGCCAGCCGCCAAACGCAAACACCGCAAATAAGCGGCCGGCCGCAGCAAGATAATAATTTATCAACGACTGGCACACCGCTAGATTGGTCATTTTCACAAATCAAAAAGATATCTGCAAAAATCTCCTAGATGAAAGCGCCCGATTAAAAAACGGATGGCACGTGCGTGTTCCTCGCCCCCAACTTCCTTCAGGTCAATCGTCATTTGGGTCACCTAACGCATTGACGACCGGATGGGTGGAATGGACATTGCGCCAAGAAACGTAAGTATATTGTCAAAAAGAATCCCCAGAATGGTGGATCCCAAAAGTTTGAAACTACCACTTTGACCCACTGGACGACACCTTAAACAGTTGCCGACCGGATGACACCCATTGTTTGGTCACCCTACCATAGTCTACGTCACGGGTGTGCCGAAATGACCAAAAGTCCAAATTTCCGGTGTGCAGGGTCATTTTCAACGGCACGTGGCACGTGGTTCTGGACTTTTCCGGCCACTTTGCGACATCGAGGGTTCATACCTAAAAATCAAGAGTTCAATTGATGAGATGGGTCAATAACCGAACCATTTTTAACGGTTGTTTGTGTATGAAACTTATGTGTATGAAATAAATGCAAAATACTCTAAATCTATTTTAACAAAGCTGATAGATCAATACATTTGAATATGATATTTAAACAATTAAGAATAAACCTCAACATAGAAAGATATAGGATTCCTCATGGCTCACTCGTGGAAGATCGGATATCTTTTCCTCGCGTGTAACAGAAAAACCTCGCTCCTTCGTCGCTCGGTTTTTCAGTAACCCGCTTGGAAAAGATATCCTTATCTTCCACTCGGAGCCATGAAGAATCCTCTATATCTTCCACTCGGAGCCATGAAGAATCCTCTATATCTCAACTGCCAAATATCAAAATTATTGTACCATACCATAATAACATCATAACGCTCGAAAATAATATTCATAGCCTTGAACTCGGGCGGCCGGCCGGCCGGCCTGGGCCGGCCGGCCGCTCATACTCAGAATTTTTTGAGATATTTTTTTGAGATATTTGCGAAAAACCACAGGGGGGGGTGTTCAACCACCCCTCCCCAGCAGGGCGCGGGTTAATACTGTAAAAAATATGGGAGATATCCACTCCATTTTAACGGTTTTGGGTTAAACCGTCAGTTTATAAGAATATGTGACTAAGTTTATGTTTGATGCTACAAGAACGGTCATGTCACTTGAGGTCAACTAGGGTCAAACTACGTTTTTGCATATAAAATGACAGACAGTGAAACTAGAGCTTCAAAAATGGTGTCATTGTGTTCTTCTTGATCAGCCGAGTCGAATAATTTGCAATATGATGCATTTAGGTAAACGAGAAAATGAATTTTAAGGAATTTTAAAATACACATTTTTTGTCTATTTTGCATCACGATTTTCATCGACCTGTGCTCTATATGTGGTAGACACTAGCTAAAATACCTGAAGTGACATAAACTCAAAGATGTCCAGAGCTAAACAATACCTTAACCCGCGCCCCAGTGGCGGTCTCAGCCAGCTTCGCCCTAGTGGGGGGGGGGGGGGGCATATGTTACCACCCACCTCTAACTCAAAAACTAATAGGGATAGAAAGACGCGGTCGATAGCTCTCAATGCGTACGTTTGAAAGTATTTCGGTCATTTTTCATCTTAGGTCATGACCTGACCGGAAAAAGTCATGTTGCATATCATTCGATGCGTCTCAACAAGACAAACACAATGAGGCCATCCCCAGCGTCCTATCTCTTTCCAATCGAGAGTTATTGGCAAAAATCTGTTTGTAGCCTCAAATGAGCTCGGATGACCTTTCTAGAGGCTATCAGCAAAAAGACACCTTGGTCGTCACGGGTGGTCCAAATAATTGTGATTCTGAAATATTTGACCTGTTCCTATGCGTACACACGGATCTAGAGGCATTTTCATTTTCTCCATTGAGTTATAATGGTAAGGTCACGCCACTGGCCTGACCTTAGGTCACGGATATAAAAAATCCGAGATATACATATAAATTATAGGCGCCTATAACATCATGCAATCCACCATGTTTAAAACCTCTCTGACAAACACTGCAGGCTGGACATGATTGCAAACTTTTTTAGGCCTGGACAGTTAACTTGACCTGGTGACCTGACCTGGCATGACCTGGGGTAAAAAATTTCACACATTGTCCAAAATTGATGTACAAAAAGCTACTCCAAGCGGCGCGGCGCTACATGCCGCGGTTTTTTATTCACACGCAAAAAACGCGACAGGGTGGTAGCATATATGCCCCCCCCCCCCACACACACACACTGGGGCCAAGGTTTATATTTCACTTTCCGTCAATATTTTGAAGACACATTAAGGTTTCATCAACTCGTTGTAAAGCGCTGGATAGGTGGCCGGCGTTACCCCTATATGCCGGGCTTACCCCCCAAAAACATCAATACTCTTAACTCGAATTTCGCAACTTTATACTATTTCTACAAAACCGAGTTTTTGGGAAAACATGACCAATTAACTTATCTAGCTAACAGGGTATCAACATTTTATGCAACACGTAAGGTATGTAATAAAAATGAAAAGAGCTTACTATGCCGGGCTTCCCCCTGCTTCCCCTACCGCGTTTTGCCAAAAATCAGTTTCGTCCCTCAAACTGTTTTACTTTGTCACCACGAATGTTTTTTTCCAAAATAGCTTTTTAGTGCTTATTAGGTGTTCACAACATTCAAACACATCAGAATTTGACTTTAGCCATTGATAAAAAAGTTGCAAAAACAAACCACCCTAAGTGAGCTGCATTGCACTGAAGTGTGTAATATGTAATATGCACGTGATTTATTTTTGTGCAGCTTAAGTTGCGCAAGATGACAAATTCGCCGCAATAGTTGTGTTTGATTCTTGGACAGTATGAAAGACACAAGGAGTTTTGTTTTGTCTTTCTTGTTTCCTTGTGCCAAATTCTAATAGCGAGAACATGACTGCAATGTGTGATAGCTAATCTGAGTCAAGACGAACATGTTAAGACGAAGAGCAAAAGCAAACTCTGAAAAAGAAAAAGAAAATGCTGTATACCTGCGCCAAAAACCAGAACGCAGCACGTTGTAACCGCAAGTTCTCCACAAGGTCCTCTGGTGCCGACAGCGGATTCTGATCTCGACTTTCGAAATCGTTATTCGCCTTTTTAGTCATTCAAAATATAGCTATCACGCCTCATTCTAAGCCATTTAACACTCCAACAGAATGGCGTTCCATGTGAATCACTCGAATTGAAAACATCAAACGGCGAATCAAGAGATAGTGCTGAATCAGAGGCTATGACTTCCCCTGGCGACATGCGCTGTGAGGAAAGCGCTGAAAACAATAATGCTCAGGACGGGTTGCCTCCGTCCGTAGACGCTCACCTATCATTTAATGCCGGCTATCTCACATCATGTGACTCTTTCTCTACTTCGGACACGCATGGCGTGGTCACACACTTGCATAGCCCCGACGTCTCGAAATGGGTCGAGAGCAAAAACCCAGAGATTCGCGTCTTTTATCGGATTACATACGATCAACCAATAATCAATTTGTTATACAAAACTTCAGTCGATGAGCCAACTACAGAAGGAGCGGATATTGACAACCCGTTAGACCGGATGCGACTCTACTACCGTGAATTGGGCGCTACCAGCTCTGGTGGGAGTGTGATGGACAGCTCTGTATCTACAAAACAGGATCTCTCAGAAAATGAAGGTCACAGTGGTATCAGGGCCAACCTCACCGATCTCGTCTATGACGAGGCGTTCGAAGAAATGCTCATTAACCGGATCCAGAACCGCATTCGTGAGATGGGTGTAGTCGGCGGACTGGAGCTGACCGATGAGACTGGCCTGACGCCCGCCGGCCGACAGGTAAAGCAGAGATTTGGCTTCCTTATGCAAGACATCAGCGACGATGAGACTGAACATGAGAACCAGAGCACGAAGCCAGCCCCCGGCGAGGAGCGGAGGTCACGGCGACGGCGCCGACCCACCCCCGACTGGATGCTCATCGACGTGCCGTCCGACGATACGCTGCGCACCGAGCCGCGCGGACCGCCATCTAGCGTGTCACTGGAGCTGGGCGAGCCCGCGCCGCCGCGCTACGCCCGCTCGGCCGACTCGGAGAGCGACGTGTCGGTGCTGAGGGCGATCCGGGCCGAGGGCGGCGACCAGTTCGTCGAGGCCGTGTTGCGACGGCTACATCAGAACCTGCGCGCCGGACACAACTTCCGCGAGTACCGCCAGCTGCCGGCGACGAACGTCCCCAGTGCGCGGCCGCCGGCGCACGGAGCTAGCAGTTCGTCCGACGACTCTGAGGCGGCCAGCAGCCGCAGCAGCATGGGCCGCGTGCAGTTTAAGGAGAGGGTGCTGGTGCGCCCGCTCGGTAGAGACCCGCTGGTCACCGAGTGCCGACGGCCATACTCTAGCGGCTCCGGTCAGAAGATCACCTCGCTAAGGGATTATAGGCCAGAGCCTGACCACCCCGACTACGAGGACTCACTCAAGGACAGGACGGAGCCAGCCGCCGGCCGGCTCCCGGCCAGGAAGGCTCCGCTCGCCGCTGCTCCTGGTGCGCCGGCGCGCAAACCTCAACCCAGCTGGAAGAAACTACTCGTAAGTTCTCCATTATAGTCTGTTTATTTAACGATGGCGGTCCGCTTTAAGCGCACAAATGAATACCTCACGAGACGAGCAGTAGGATTGAACAGAAGTTCAAAGGTAAAATCAAAAGTAAGCTTGATATTTTAAGCTGCCCAACGTTAACCCTCGCCGGCCGAGGGGGGGGGGGGGTGCCGCCCTCCATATGATTTTTTTTCGCGATAGCTCCGAACACGCTGGCGATAGAGAGCTGAAACTTGGTATACCTGATTTTTAATTTAAGCCGGATCTTTTGACACCAACCGCATTTTTGAGTCAGGTCAGGTCACTGACCTATGACGTCATAAGTGAACCTCTGCACGGTCTTCAGATGTCGCAACTTCGCAACGCCGTCACTGCCAGAGGAGATGTCACAGAGAAATGAAACTTGCAGGATCTTGTATCCATTATGAGTCTCACAACTTGTATATCTCGGATTTTTCCTAAAGGTCATATGAGGTCAGGTCATTTTCGTGACCTCACCATTATAAGTCAATGGGGAAAAATGAAAACTGCTATTCTGGCGCCGGGAACGATCTCCAACTATCTCAAGCTCACGGAATCGTGATTTGATGCACTCCTTGCAAGGTTAGATGCGTCACTTTTGCAATGGTGACCTTGTGTGACGTCATTTATGACGTCATCAAGGTTATATTAGTTTTTCGTCAATAACTCCCGATCAAATTGAGCTAGCGAGTCGCGAAAGACACCAGTGGACTCAGGAAGACGTGCCGAATCGAATGATATGCGACATGACCTCTTTCGACTAACTTCGTGACCTGGGGGTGCTGACCTGACCTTGACCTGAGGTCAACACCCTAAGTTGACCTAACCCAAACAAAAAGTATATCATTCGACGCGCCTGAGCAAGGCGAACACGATGATGCCAAATTCGCGGCTCTGCGGCCGATTTTTGCGAAGTTATTCACCAAAAACTGAACCGTACCCTGGGGCACTTGACCTGACCTCAGAGGTCACCGGTTAACCTAGGACCTTAAAATCGGGCATCAATCTCTGCGTCTTGTAACGGCGCACACGCTCGCTCGTTTTTTCCGCGACGCGCTAGCTCTACCTGGGGCGAAACGGCAAGGGGGGGTTCGTACCCGCCCCCCCCCTCGGCCGGCGCATATGTAGAAAACCAATAGGTCCGGCGAGGGTTAAACCTCGCCAGGCGAGGGCCTTTTTCATAACACGGACGGCGAAGGGGGTATACGACCCCCTGGCGATTGTCTCCTATGGCACTTAGAAACGCCAAATTTACAGGGTAGGTGGGCTCATAGGAGATCTCGCCCTCGTGCAAGTTTGGTAACTAAGTCAATATTTAGGAGGGTTTTGGGGGGTAAGAGTGCAAAAATTTCGCTAAAACATGTCAAACATTTTTCGCTTATAACTTATCTAGTAGAGATAGAACAAAAATCAAAGCACCAATGAACTCAGAAGTCTGTGCGCATCGAATGCTTTGTAACCAATTTAAGAGAACTTTAAATTTTCTAAAAAATTAAGTGAAGTTAAAGTAATTAATTAAGCTTACGTCAATCAAAATGCATCATATTGCATATCATTCGAATCGCATGATCACAAGAAACACAAGGACACCATCTTTTTGAAGCTCTAGCCTCATTGCGTGCAAAGTTATTAACGAGGACGTAGTTTGACCTTAGTTGACCTCAGTTGACCCGACCCAAGCGTTCTTGCAGCCTGCAAACACCAACTAGATGTAAATTAAGGTAGTACAATACAAAAACGTTAAAATAGAGCACAAATCTTTCATCTTTACACAATTCGGGCGAATTTCCTTAAAAATTTGTGATGACCTCTAATCCTCAGGTCAACCGAAATTGAAAAACTGGGATGCATATGATGGCAGTCGGTGAGTTAAGCATATCCTGCAAGTTTGAATAAAACCAATGAAGAACTCTAGTTTTCATGAACAATATAGTGCATTTTTAGAGCCATTTTGACAATGTATATACCGGTTTTTTGACCTTGTGACCTGACATCAGGTCACTGGAACCTTAAACTCCAAGGTCAAGTGACAAATAGCCCAAGTCGTGCCCCAAGATGCCCCAAGTCGTGTCTGAAATTTGGTAGCGCTACGTGCCACAGCACTCACTCAATCAATGAAAAACTCTGGCATTCAGTTGCCGCTAAACTAGTCCAATTTTTCCCTGACCTTGTACCGGTTTTTGTAACCTGGTGACCTGACCTGAAAGGACTGAGACCTGCAATTTTCAGGGTAGGTGCCAAAAGGCTGCCCCAGAGGGTATACCAAATTTGGCGGCGCTACGCGTCGCCATTTTTACGTTACTTGTTGAAAAGCTTAGGGTTGCATCAGCTTCCCTCGCTGGGCGAGGGCTAAGGTACGGATGTTTAACCCGCGCTGGGTCGGGGGTGTTTGAACACCCCTTGCACCTGTTTGTGAATCTTTTCCGCACATGTTGTGAAAATTTCAGACCCAGGTCGCTCAAGGTCAGGTCACCAGAACACGCCAAGTGACTTCACCTAAAAAAATTAGAATGCTCGCCATAGCTACACCGACTACACGATTGCCTTGAAACTTTCAGCGATTGCTAAGAGTAATATTAGTATCTATAAAACGTACGTGTATATCTCGGAATTTTGATAGCGGTGACTTAAGGTCAGGCCAATTTTGTGGCCTCTCCATTATAAGTAAATGGGAGAAAATTGAAAGAAACGCCTTAGATGTGTTCGGCTCGACGATGCAGACCGACTGATATGCAACATGACCTGTTCCGGTTAGGTCATGACCTTGACCTGAGGTCAAATTTTCAAGTTGACCTTTCAAGACCAAATTATAGTTCATTCGACGCGTCTCGACGAGAGGAACACGATGCTGGCAAAAGTAATGTTATGGCTCTTTTGAGTCAAAAGTTATTGCCGAAAAAAACACTTTTCGTAAAAACGGCTATTTTTTAGTTTTTGCCCTCTGGAGGCTAAACCGTTGACCTGAGTTCAAATCTGAGGACATCTTAGCAAAAGAGCGTTGACAGAGCTATCGAATACGCTTTTCCGCGGCGCTGTAGCTCTATCGGTTCCCGAGTTAGCCGTTGGCAGCTTCCAAAATGTTGGAATTACCAATATTTTACCTTTGGTGACCTCTGGTGACTTGACCTTTGACCAGACCCAGAAAATGACTTTAGTGTTTTCGTCCTTATTTTGGACGTTCTTTCGATTGCCGCTTAACGCGTGTTGCTACGTGGCCCAGTAGCCGAGTTAGAAGGAGGTATGTGTTCAGACCCCCCCCCCCCCCCAACCCGGCCCGGCGCGGAAGTTTCGGAGCACCGGCCAGCAGTGGCGGATCCAGGGGGGGGGGGGCAAAATGGGCAGTTGCCCCTCCCAAACGGCATAATTTTAATATTACGCCTATGGACGAGGCATGGAAAGAATCGATAAATTGTTATGGTTTGCCCCCCCAAAAAAATCTCTGAGCTGGATCCGCCTCTGCTGGTCAGGCGCGTGTTAACGTGCGTTTTCCACTAAAGCACTTAAAGTGGGCCGCGCCATCGTTAAATAAACAGATTATAACATTTTATCAGCTACTTATACACATAAATAAACAACCCGCACTGGCTCGAGAGGAAAGGGGACGTTTTCCAACCTCCCCCTCACTGACAAATATTCATGATAGCTAACCAATGCTTAGAGATATGAGCGCGAAACATTCATCATCCTTTTCCCAATCAGTTGACGTGTTTGGAACAGCAACCAAAATGTAGCCTGATGACTTGACCCGTGTCATACTGGGCACTGGGGGTCATGGATTCCTACGCCCTGCTGGGATTGGTGTTTGAACACAAACTACATATACCCACCAGTTTAACGCCTTTTGGGGCGACTAACGGAGTGAGCGAGGGGGTACCGCCAACTGACTTGTGCATATAGTTCGTTTTTCTTAAGTTCGACCCTCACTGTAAACATCTTTTTGGAAACAGCACGAGAATTGCTAGCTGCATTATTGAGAAAACTCGTTGGCGCACAATGATTTCGCAAACGATCGTTTGTATCAAAATTATTTCTACCTGGCTTCTTTTTCCCAGACTCGCAGCTCGGTATTTGCAGCCCCACAAGGATCGAGGAATTGTCAGGAAGTATAAGTAATTTAATTAATAAATCGAACGGCGTTTAGCGTAACAGTATATCATTGGTGTAAGAAACTTATTTTGAAAATATTCATTCATATCTCCAGTACAAAGTGCGCTAACCAGTTTTCTCAGTAATTCAGCTAGCAATTCTCGTGCTGTTTCCAAAAAGATGTTTACAGTGAGGGTCGAACTTAAGAAAAACGAACTATAGCACCCTACTAACCGGTCTCTAGCGATGTGCCAAATTTGAGCACAATCGGCCCAGCCGTTCTCGAGATCTGGATGCGGCACCCTGCACGTGCGCACGTGCAAAATGGGTCCCAACTGACTTTTGCACGGCACCCTACTAACCGGTCCCTAACCGCGTACCAAATTTGAGCGCGATCGGTCCAGCCATTCTCGAGATCTGGAATCGACCCCTGCACGTGCGCACGTGCAGCAGCACCCCAGCTGTGGCACATGCAAATGCATTGCCTAGTCGGTGCCTACCTATATGCCAAGTTTCAGCGCAATTGGCCCAGTAATTACCGAGATATTGCAATTGTTACAAAACTGACACCTCTTCGCTTTGCACGTGGCACCAAGGGCGCACACAAGGGGGGGGGCACACGGGCCCGTGCCCCCCATTCGAGTTGGGGGGCCCAGCTCGAAGGAATAGGGCCCATTTGAGGCGGCCGAAGGCCGCCTCAAATGGGCCTCTAACTAATCCTTAGACCACCGAAGACCGTGTACAAAGGGCCCTCAAATGGCCTTGAAGGGCCCTCAGATGGTCTCAAAAGGCCCTCAGATGGCCTCGAAGGGCCCTCAGATGACCTCAAAGGGCCCTCAGTTAGCGTCATAGGGCCCTCATCTGATGTCAAATCAAAGGGCCCT